ATGGAACGGGGAGGGGAGCCCCCCTGCCAGTGGCAGCTCTGACTTTCCAGGCATGTGAGCAAACCACAGTGGAAGCAAACCTGAGAGCCCCAGTTGAGCCTTTGGACAAGGCAGCCCCAGCTGACGCTTTGCACCCTTAAGAGAGACACCATGCCAGACTGCTCAGAGGAGCTGCTTCTGGATTCCTGATCCACAGAAACAAAGAAATTAAAAAGGTTTGTTGTTTTAAGCCACTGAGTTTTGAAGTAATTTGTTACACTGAAATAGATAACTAGTACCGGGGAGAAAAAGACAAGGGTACTTCCAAAAAGTTCATGAATTTAAAATATGGGTTTATTTGGATCAGCAAATGGTGTAATGGTTACATCACTGGACTCCCACGTAGTTGACCATGGTTTGAGTCCTGGACCCGGTAGCTTAAAACACACTGGGCATGTGTGCGTATGTGCCCAAAATCCTGAGAGGAGACTAGAGGAGAAGGGATTGTGGTGTGGCCATCCCCCTGGGGGGGGGTGATTTCTCACTTTTTGTCTCTGTCTCTCCAGCAAGCACACAAACCCTATAGCAAAAACCTCTCTCTAAAATAAACAAATAAGTAAATAAAGTATGAGTTCATTTTGGTGCAAAAACAGTTTTAAATACATGCATAGCTTTCTGATAATAATAATTTTTATGGACTTTTTGAACACCCCATGTAGTATATATATATACTCATTGTCATATATATAAACACATACATATGTATGATATAGATAATATACATATGAGAAAAATAAAGCAAAGTGGTAACAGGAACATTTTTTTTGAGAGAGGTTTTTGCTCTAGGGTATGTGTACTTGCCGGAGAGACAGAAAGACAGAAAGCAAAAAATTTAACACCCCCCCTGGGGGGGGTGTGACCACAACTCAGTCCCTTCTCCTCTATTCTCCCCTCAGGATTTTGGGCACACATGCACATGCGCTCAGCATGAGTTTTAAGCCACCTTTCCAGGACTCGAACTGTGGTCAACTGCATGGGAGTCCAGGATGTATCCATTACGTCATCTACTGGTCCTAATAGGAATTTTCTTGATGGTGGAAATATGAGTGATTTGAATTGATTTTACTCTTTGGTTATCTGTATTTCCAATTTTTTTGCAGTAAATGCATTAATAGAATAATATTTTTTAAAAAAGAAAACAGAAAGATTTGGCTCTATTTTCTATTTTTGCATAGAAGTTCTGAGGCCCAGAATCTAAAGAACAGAAGTTCACAGTTAAATGGACCAAAGTGCCAGCCCCCCTATGCCAGTTGGAGAGAAAGTGGGGCCAGGGAGACCAAAGTGCCAGCCCCTCTCTCATGTGCCTGTTCCCTGGCTGCCCTTAGCACCAGCTGGGCACCAGCTCAGCACATGATGCAACAGGGCCTAGAGGTCAGCATGGTGTTGCAAGTGTTTGCTTACAGCAGGGTAGACTTGAAATTGGCTGTGCCCTTGTGTGGCAGGGCAGGCTGGGGCCTGGATAGTGGGTGGTGAAGTCAAGAGGAGAGGAGCCAAAAGATGGCAGAGCATGCTAGGGCAAGCAGCATAGCTGGCAGTGCTTATGGCTCACACAGGCCAGGGACTATGCCAGGTTCTCTGTGTGGAGTCCACCCGGCTTGCAGACTGTAGGCTGTCACTTTATGTGTGGAAAAACTGAGGCCAGTGAGAGTTAAGGGACTTACTAGGAGGGAACACCACGATTTACTCCCAGGTGAGTACAACTCCAGGATTGTTAAGGGCTTACATTTCTTGACTACATGGGAAGCTCTTTGGGGCTAAGTGCTCACTGGGGGCCAGGGAGTGGCCATTTTAGAGATGTCCCATGGCTTCAGCTCAGCTAGTGGGAGTGGGACAGCAATAGCCACAAGGTCCAGTCTACTGTAGTTTGCTGCTGACAGCAGACGGGCTAGTGGCCTGGGTTCAGATGTCAGGAATCAGGCCCGAGGGCCAGAACTGCTGGGGGAGCAGATGAGGACACAGCATGAGTGAGGAAGCAGGGAGTGGTCCTGTGCATGGCCGGGGGAGGGGGAGCAGCTGTTTGGAGGGTCA